GTATCCAATATCAGCGCAACGTTGATAAGAGCTATAGCGCTGCAGCAGCTGTGAGCACCTGCAAAACCGACGTGCGTGTTTGAAACACTTTTCCATACCTTTGAAAACACATAAATACATTTTAATGTTACAGCTGGCATTCAAAGAAGGAAACCGTTTAACAAGCAAACTCAGACGTACCGCATGCCTCCAGAACCATCTGTGCTGCACCGAAAAATGAACTACTTCATTTGGCTTCAGGTCTCGTCCCATATGCTGGTCAAGATTGCATCTGTACCCGTAGACCACGTGGACTTTCGTGGCACCGACTTGCTGGAGTTCTTTGACAAGTGGAGTGTGAACTCCATGATTTCCTGCATGAGAGAGTATGATAAATAATGAGTTTTTGATGGAGGATCAGCATGACTGGTAGCTGATATTACCGTCTAAAAGTAGCCCCAAAAACGAGACACTGTACAGACTCTCGCAAGCGTCCTGCGGCAAGACAGAAGCCAGTGGGAAAGGTTCGCAAAGTCGCGATGAAAGATTGATCGTTTTTTGTTGTGGTACGGAACAGAGGAAACCAGGATCACTGGAGACTCTCTTGGCTACTTTTACTACTATTACTATTACTACAATTGCTATCATCACTATTACTATTACTACTACTATTACTATTGCTATTACTATTACTATCACCATAACCATTGCTATAGGCTATTACTATTACTAGTACTCTTACTATTACTATTGCTCTTTTATCTTCTGCTTATTCTTACTAGCATCATAGTCATTACTGTTATTTTTATAGCAACTATTGTCATCACTGCTATCATGGCTATCGTCGCAATCGCACAATACTCGTTATTGCAAGGACTTTGCTTCATACACAACCTCATGAAACCTGGTAAACCAGCATAAAGTCTTAAAGTACTTTGAACCACGCAACAACATGTCTACACTAGTTCTGAATGAAGATGAATGAAGGCCCCGACCTTTAAAGCTCCGAGACTGCCAAGGCCCTGAAATCCTAAACCTGGAGACTCCTGGACCCCCCAAAGCCTTGGACCCTAAAACCCTGAAGCCCCGTCATTTAGTACTACTTTTTGTTATTATTAGTATTATTCTTTCTTGAGTCTCATTTTCATCATCATTATTCGAATTACTGTTATCAGTGCTACTACGGTTTTATTCTTATTCTTATATGTTTTCATTTTCACTATCATTAGTAGCATTAGTGTTATCAGTATGAAAAGCACAACAATGGCCTTGAATCCGAACAACCAGAAGCGCGAGACTGTTTAGGTACCGGGACCTCCCACTGGCCGTGGAAGAGCTGCCGCCGGAGACGGCGGCCGTCAAGGAGGATCCCGGAAAAAGGGCATGGGTTCGGAAAAAGGGCTCCTTTCAGAAAATGGGCTTAGGGTTTAGAGATCAGGGTTTAGGGTTCAGGGTTTATTACAAGTAAAAGATACCATGAGGGTACTCTAAGGGGATTCTGTAAGGACTCGGTTATGTCCGTTTAGGATTCTAATTACGAAGGTTTCGAGCGATCTCATATGCGCAGGGTTTAGGGTTTTTCGGGGTCGGGATAGTCAGCTATAGTTTCTCAGGGTTCCCCTGTACAATCATGTCATGACAGAGCGCAAAGCCCGATTTGTTCAGGGCGCTATTTGAGGACAGATTTTATATGGCATGTGCTTGGGTGGTTCTCTAAATTAGGGTCCCTGTCTAGGTCCCCAATATAGTACGGCACCCTTGTAATAAGGACCCCCAAAAGGGACCCTAGTTTAGAGAACTACTCATTTGGGATTCTTGAATGATGTTTCAGGGGGTCTTAGACGTGTTTCTTCAAGCCTTCGTTTGGCTCTGGGTTTCTGGCCTGGTGGGTCAGGACTCGAGGGCCTTGCATCTTGAGGCTTTAGGTTTCAGGGCTTGGGGCGGTTTGAGGGTTTAGACCCTAAGCCCTAAACCCTAAACCCTAAACCGTAGCTTAGGATTTAGGTTGAGGTGTAGGAGCCCGCGGCCCATGGAGATGTGGGTGGCTCCGTTGTCGGATTCTTGAAATGGGTGCTCTCTTTTGTCGTGACTTCCCACATGGATCCAATGGATTATATAGGTAGCTCTCTACGTAAGAGTTGCGCGTTTTCAGGCTGTGGACGTTACGTGCTTTAGGCGTCTTAGACTTGGCATTTGCGAATTTAGGAATTTCGGGTTGCTAGGCTAGGCTCTGCGGTCTGCGGGATACCGTATACCCCTAAACTAAGGATGTTTTTTGTCTCCGTAAACTTGATGTAGTGGATGCCCTAAGGCATACTCTTCAACGGGGATTTTGGGCTCTCTGGGGGTCTGCTGTTAGGGCTCAGGCGAGGTTGAGACTTTGGGCTGTGGGCGATGGCCTGAAGATCTGGAACCCTAATCCACCTTAAATTCCTAGGTAGTGTCAGGGAGGCCCTTCAAAGGGGACCCTTCTTAACCCTGCCGATGGATCTCTTAAAAGGGACCTTATTGAGAGGGTCTATAGCCTCAAGGGTCCCCCTAATCCTAACTCCTATAAATGAAAGCAACCGAACTCCACAATCAGCAGACCCGGACAGTTCCCTCAATTTAGAGCAGCATTCTTCAACAAGCCCTAAACCGCACATTCTGAACCCTCGAGCTTTGTTCACCCTAAACCCTGAACCCTAAACCCTAAACCCCAAGCCCTAAACCCTAAACCCTAAACCCTAAACCCTAAACCCTAAACCCTAAACCCTAAACCCTAAATCCTCAGCCTTGGTGGGCTTCTGCAGACCGAAAAAGGAGCGAAAAAAAGCACCGAAGCCCTGCAGCCAAAACCCGTAAACCCTACCCTACACCCCAACCCTTAATTTCCGAACCCCGAAGCTCCTAAACCCCTACACCTTAAATCCTAAACCCTGAACCCAGTAATCTTAAATCCCTAAACCCTAAACTCTAATCCCAGAAACCCTAAAACCGATGTTCGCCCAAGGAGTTGCCGCAGCAGCGGAGGCTGCCCTAAAAAAACCCGGTAGCTGCCACCAGGTTTCCGAGATCACACACAAGTTTTAGGGTTCAAGGGGTTAGATTAGAGTTTCAGCTCGGGTGTTATTTAGGGTTTAGGGGGGAATTGAGTTCCGGCTCTAGTCTTATTTACGGTCTTGGGGGTTTGAGTTTCGCCTCTAGTGCTTTCGGGTTCAAGGGCTTATATACTCTGAAGAATAACACCTAGAGAGATACGGATGTTCCAAAGTCAGAATTTCTTTGGATTTAGAGAGGGGCCCCACAGGGATGCTTGCCGAGTGCATGAGTGGATGTATGCGATTCTTGGAGGATTGATGGCACGACTGTTGATATTATAAATCTAGCATTACCTTAAGGACCCTAAACTGTGGGAATTATGGTATATTCCTTATTCTGGGTAATGCAGGATTTATATCATCAACTGTAGGATTAGCGGCCCCTGTATCATCACAGTGAATGTGACGAGAGCAACTGTGGTAATCATGACGACGTTGGCTTTCGTCCACAGTCATGTCAGTCATGATGCTAGTAGAAGGGACCCTACTGGGCCCCCCAAATCCCGTCTGCGTCCGAAGCCCTACAAGCCGTCGTAAAATCCTTCCCAACCCTGCACAGAACACAACACCCCTGAACCCTAAATCCTAAATCCCAAACTCTAAGCCCTAAGCCCTAAACCCTAAATCCTAAATCCTAAATCCTAAACATTAAACCCTAGACCCTGAACCCCTCAATCCCATCAGGGCTTCGGCATCGCTCGGGACAGTGCTGAATCCGTGCTTCGAAGGAGCTTCCGGAGCTCTCGGCGTCATTTCTTTGCGGGTTATCTAAGAGTGTTTGAGGATCAGGTTTTAGGGTTTAGAGGGTTTAGGGCTTTAGGGCTTAGGGTTTAGAGTTTAGAGGGTTTAGGGCTTTGGGGCTTAGGGCTTAGAGTTTAGAGGGTTTAGGGCTTTTGGGGCTTTAGGGATCAAGAGCTGAAGGGCCCGGATTCAGGGTTTGGGGGGTTGGTTCAGATCGAGGGTTTGACAGCTATAATCTATTATATTATTGCACTTCAAAGTTGGTCTACCGCGTCACCGAGGGCGCAGCGCCGAAGGGCCTGCCCACCCGTCGATCAGGGTTGGAGGCAGTGAAGACTTTGATTAGGAGTGGCGAGCTGAAGATGATCTCTGTCAGAGTCCGGCACCACCAAGACGCCCTAAATGGCAGGATTTACTAAACCCTAAACCCTAAACCCTAAACCCCAAACCCCCAAACCTTCTCAAGGTCAGCTGCGGCTCGACTCCGGTGTCGCACATTTTCCAGCGTCAGACCGGCCAGCCGGTGATCAATGCGGACAGTGACTTCCAGGTGTCCGACTCGAAAGTGACGGTGTCGGTGCTGCAGGGCGCCCCTTCGGCTGGGTCAGCTACCGATGAGACAGGCGTCTGTCAAGTTCAGGATTTGTTTTTGTTTCACCTTCTTGTTAAACTGTACGCGCACGACATTTTAGTGATTTTTACTTTGCAAAAAACACTGTATACTCACTACCATTACGATTATTATTGCTATTGGCATGGCAACGCACACGACATTTTAGTGTTATATTTATTCGAACAAACAGTGTATACCGACTACCATTGTGATTATTATTGCTATTGGCATGGCAAGGGACCCCTGCAAAAACGCGCGCCCCAAATTCCTAACAAAGACACAAGGTTGAGCCCGAGGAAAGGAAATCAACAGTAGGGTTTAGGGTTTAGGAGGCAGTCCGTCAGTTGCTGCCAAAGCTCTTGCATGAGTATCTGATTGCAAAAGACATAACTACCCCAAAGCATGAACACCAAAAGAGCCTTGCACCCCGAGCCATAGGCTTCTGTAAAGACTATCGCCGTAGATTCGAGGGATCCTTAACAAGAGAGAAGCCTAAATAATCACCAACATTATTGTTAGGGTTCCTGAATATAATTATAGTATCATGGGCCCCAAAACCCTATTCTAATTATTAAGGTCTCTTACTAGTCCTTCCTTAGTGGCCGCTGGGTTTTGATTGACACTGAGACGATCATGCGACTTAGTACCTTATACTGATAATTTCTTACAACCCCAGTTAAGTACTTATAACCTTACTAAGTTCCATGATCCTCCAAGCATAGTTTCCGGTTTTTCTTCCTAAAGCAATGGCCGTTCTTGGGTTTTCTGGAAATGGAGGCGCCCCCCCCCCCATCCCCTTGTCAGCCCTGTTATAGCCGGATCGATATTTCGCTCACCCCTAAACCAAACCATAGACCCCTCATCTCTGAACCCTGGACCCTAAACCCTAAACCATGCAGGCGAAACCCTAGACCCTAAACCCTAAACCATAGACCTTAAGCCCTATAAGCCCTATAAGCCCTATAAGCCCTATAAGCCCTATAAGCCCTATAAGCCCTATAAGCCCTATAAGCCCTATAAGCCCTATAAGCCCGAAAAGCCCTATAAGCCCTATAAGCCCTATAAGCCCTATAAGCCCTATAAGCCCTAAGCCCACAGTGCCGCAGGAGTCCTCCGGCTGTGTGAGCACGGTGCCTTGGACTTGGAGCAGTCCTCTGATTTTTTGCAACCTTGAGCCTTAATGTAGACTTATTGGCTGTAAACTCAACTTTTCAACTTTTGGGATTCTTGTAAGGTAGTCGATTCTGAAAGTTTCAACTTTTATTTCCTTGAGTTTTGGGCCAGTGAGTAGAAGCCTTAATAATTTCCGACATTATTTTGAGGTTCCTTATTATAAGGATAGCATAATATAACCGAAAACCCTATCCTAATTATTAAAGTCTCTATATTAGGCTCTTTTGGGTTTCTCGGGCTTGCAATCTCGAGGGTTTACTTAGTAGCTGACTAGGTGTACTTTCCAGTTTTTGGTAGAATGTCACCCCGACAGAACTGAAATTTCAGGCCTTTTTTTGGGCTCGTAAACTCAGCGACTGAGCTTAGGGTTTGGAACCAAACCCCTAAACCCTAATCTTCTTTGCAGCTTAGAGAGAAAGCTGTAAACTTCCAGCCCTGCCATAGTCCCAGGCTCGACCCCTAAACCCTAAACCGGGTTTAGAGTTTAGGGTTTACAGTTTAGGGTTTAGGGTATGGCCGGGGTAGACCCGGCCCCCTACTTTTCCAAACCGCGAGCACTAAATCCGAATTTTTTACCCACCCTAAAACCACAGAGGTTTAGGGTTTAGGATTTAGGGTTTGGGGTATAGGGTTCAGGGTTCAGGGTTTGCGGTTTTAGGTTTAGGGTTTAGGTTTACTTGGCCCAAAGCCTTAATGCCCAGGCTTGTGGCTTTGGGCATTGATTGGGAATTGGGGCTTCGCGGCTCGAGTTTTTGGATTTCGGCTTGTGAGGGTTTAGGGCTTCGGGTATTTAAGGGGGGCTAAGGGGGGTTAGGGGGTTTAGGGTTCAAGGGGTTTAAGAGGGGCTTAGGGGTTAGGGGGGTTTAGTAGTAGAGGGGTTCAGGGGGGTTTTAGAGCTAAGGGTGGGTTTAGGTTTGAGCCACGGGCTAAACTCGGGGAGGAAAATTGTGATGTACGTTTGTGTAGATCCCCAGCAGACACGAAACACTAAACCACCTTAAACCCTCAACCGTTCTGGGAGCCGGGGCCGCATTCCGGATCGGCGAACCCGCCCACTTGACTTTTGAGCTCTTGGCGCCTCCTTGCGCTTGTCGGGATTGTGGCACTTCTGGACTTCTCGTGTTCGCAGGAACGTTTTCGCACTTTGCGGGAGGTGTCGTGCTTTGTTGCGCACTTTCCCACTTTTGTTGGAAATTGTTGTGTCCACGGGGGCTTTCTGTACTCTGGGTGACCTTTGGCATTTTGCCACTTTTCCACACCCTGGGGCCTAGAGTGCGGTGTTGCTGGAGGTTAGGGCAAGTGTGGACCCTCGGAGCGGCACCAAGAGCCTGGCTCGACGAGCACCCCTCTTCCTGCCGCAGTGCGCACTCGGGCGATAGTGCCTTCTTTTCTTAATTAATTTGGCCCGCGCGGAGCAGTGCCCTCAATCTGCTGCATCAACCCCGGCCCTCTGTCAACGACTCTGGTCGTATCATCCAACGCACAACGCAGTCGGACCAGAGATCGCAGCCATCCCCGGACTAAATCATTCAAGATGCAGACCTGCAGGTGCTAGACGGGGCAATGGCCCTGGCGAAGGCCTGGGTACAAGCACGCATGCGCGTCTGCCTGATCAAGGTTTTGGTCGCTGCTTTGGCAGTGTACCAGAGTGGCGGCAGCTTCGCAGCCTCGCGATATTCTTGGGCCGCTACATGACATCCTGGTGAGTTCAAGTTGCGTGTCTGCTGTTCTACCTGTGCACGCTAACTGCCCGTGGCCCCACTGGATGACGCATTTCCTGATCCACAGTGCCCGCACACTTGGCTTGCCATTGCATGTGCGCATTTTCTCCGGCAGCAGTGCTCGTTTATCAACATTTGGGAATCTCAGCGGCCCTGCAGCGAAAAAGCCAGAGACGTGGCCACAACTTTGCGTTGACTCTTCGGTGAACCAAATGGACTCTCAGTTTAAGCCTGCGCGTGCAGATGTGGGTCGGCAGGCACGAGGTACCCAAAGACTTGGGACGTTCCACTGCGCCCTGCAAGCTGCGCCATATGGTTTTATCTTCAGGACGATGACATTGTTCTCAGTTTGTTCACGATTTTGTCGACGCGGCACTAAGACCTTAGGCAAATCATGGTGCAAAGCACCGGAGACCTCAGCTCCGAGTCTTTGCGAATTTGGGGGTCCTTTACGGACGCCCTTCTGATTGGCTCCCCAAGCGACTCCTCTGGTCACAATATTGAAGATTGGCGTTTCGCACATTAGCATACTCGGCTTGGTTCGTCTTACGCAGCCCAATTTCTTTCTTCTAACGAGCTGGTGATGTAGCAGGGGTTGCACGGCCGGACATCGCAAAAGCTTCCAGACCGCCTACAGGTGGAGTCCTCAGCCTCTACCCAAACAGTTCCTGTTTTGAACGTCGTGCGCGTCTTTTTGGGCCAGAGAAGCTTGAAGCAGCTTGTTCTTGAGGCTTTTCTGAGAGTCTTCAACTCTCGCGTGAACGCGTGACAGCCTTGGCAACTTCTTTGTGGAGAAGCTCGGGAAGCTTGAAGCAGCTTGTTTTTGAGGTCTTCTGACAGTCTTCAACTGTCGCGTGAGCACTTGACAATTTTTTGGAGAAGCTCGGGAAGCTTGAAGCAGTTTGTTTGTGAGGCTCTTCTGACAGTCTTCAACTCTCCCGTGAGCGCGTGACAGCCTTGGCAAGTTCTTTGGAGAAGCTCGGCAAGCTTGAAGCAGTTTTTTTGAGGCTTTTCTGAGAGTCTTCAACTCTCGCGTGAACTCGTGACAGCCTTGGCAATTTCTTTGTGGAGAAGCTCGGGAAGCTTGAAGCAGTTTGTTTTGAGGTCTTCTGACAGTCTTCAACTGTCGCGTGAGCACGTGACAGCCTTGGCAAGTTCTTTGGAGAAGATCGGGAAGCTTGAAGCAACTTGTTTCTGAGGTTCTTCGGACAGTCTTCAACTCTCCCGTGAGCGCGTGACAGCCTTGGCAAGTTCTTTGGAGAAGCTCGGCAAGCTTGAAGCAGTTTTTTTGAGGCTTTTCTGAGAGTCTTCAACTCTCGCGTGAACTCGTGACAGCCTTGGCAAATTCTTTGGAGCAGCTCGGGAAGCTTGAAGCAGTTTGTTTTGAGGTCTTCTGACAGTCTTCAACTGTCGCGTGAGCACGTGACAGCCTTGGCAAGTTCTTTGGAGAAGATCGGGAAGCTTGAAGCAATTTGTTTCTGAGGTTCTTCTGACAGTCTTCAACTCTCCCGCGAGCGCCTTGGCAAGTTCTTTGGAGAAGCTCGGCAAGCTTGAAGCAGTTTGGTTTTGAGCTCTTCTGTCCCCGTCCCGTCCGTCCGTCTGTCCGTCCATCCGTGCGTCCGTGCGTCTGCGTCCGTGCGTCCGTGCGTGTCCGTGCGTGTCCGTGCGTGTCCTTGCGTGTCCTTGCGTGTCCGTGCGTCCGTGCGTCCGTGTCCGTCCGTGTCCGTCCGTTTCCGTCCGTCGCCGTCCGTCCCGTCCGTCTCCGTACGTCCCCGCCCGTTCGTCGCTGCCCGTCCGTCCCGTCCTGCCGTCCGTCCTGCCGTCCGTCCTGCCGTCCGTCCGTCGTCCGTCCATTCGTCGAATCTGTCCGTGTGTCGTCGGACATCGAAAGGTCTCCGTCCGATATCGAATTCCGTCCGATATCGAAAATCGGAATTTAACGTTTTCTTTGTTATGTTTTTTTTTCTCCAATGTTCGCTGGTAATAATATAATAGCCTCGGATTTACTCCTGCACGGAGGGCGCGTAGAGCAGCTGCTCGAGGACACCCGTGTGCTGAGGTGCATGCTGCCGCAGTACATGCGAGGTTTGAGGCCATCCTGCGCTCAGAATCTACGGCATCGGAGCCTGCATTGCTCTGCGATGCCTGCAAAACAGGCCTCGCGAAGAAGGCGTGGCCGTGCAGCGGACGTCCGACGGCACCTCGTGCCTATCTGCGAAGAGAAGAGCACCTCTTAGCTGATCTTCTGTCGGCAAGCGTGACTGCCGAAAGGTGGCATTGACTTCTTTCGCCTTGCTCGAATCGCTTGCTCCTGCAAGCACCTTCTCAACTCAACTAGTTCTGTCGACTGCTACTTGCTCTCTCTCTCTCTCACACTCTCTCACTCTCTCACTCTCTCACTCTCCACGCTCCACTCTCCCCTGCCACCCACTGGACTCCGCTCCACTCCACATTCCACCCCACTCCGCTCTACTCCGTTCGATTTTTCTGCAGCTCTATAGTTTTGGATTGAATAAAGGAGCGTGGACATCTGTGTTCTGGTGGGGGACTAAATGCTCCGAAACCTGTGCCGTGCTGAGCTTGAGGCACAGCTTGGAGGATCCTTGGCGTAGAGCTGGTGGCAAGCATCCACATTAGTGTACGCCGGTCCAATCTGAGGCCCGGGACAGAGGCGGTGGCAAGCGAATGGTTCCAGGACCTTCTGGCCGCGAGCCTTTCAGAGCGCAGCAAGGCGAAAACATTGAAAAACGCATCGAGGGGTGGGTCGTAGGAAGTGGCGTGACCAGATACACCTATGTTTACTGTGCTGAATTATATTGATTATATGTATAGAGACAGAGGGAGGGCGAGCGAGAGAGAGAGAGAGAGAGAGAGAGAGGGGTCAGTGTGAAGAAATAAAGCAGCCCCCTGTAGGAGAGAGCGAGTCAGACAGAGAGAGATAGAGATAGAGAGAGCGAGCAAGAGCGAGAGCGAGAGCGAGAGCGAGAGCGAGCGAGAGCGAGAGCGAGAGCGAGAGCGAGAGCGAGTGCAAAATTTATGCGGCAATCAACCCCAGAACCAGCCTACGTACCCCAAAACCCTGTACTGATTCTGGAGTTTCGTGTCCTCGGGTTTTTCTTTGCAGTGCCCCGAATGAAATGAAGTGCACAGGCCACCAAAATTCAACCGGAGCCCAATTCTCTACAAGCCCCTACAAACCCTCTAGTACACCCTAATCCCTAAACCTTAGACCCTTAACCCTAAACCCTAAACCCTAAACCCACACCCTTAGATGCGAAGCCCAGCGCCCAAGGATCCCGGGATAAGGTACCCATAAAGCCCTTCCAGCCTCATTGCTGAGTCGCTTTCCACAAACTCCTTAGCAAAACCCTTGAAGAGGAACCCTATTAACCCGAACCCTCCAGGTACCTACTTTCTAGGGCCTTAGGGCTTCAAAAATCCCCCTAAACCCTAATCACCTCTAAACCCTAAACCCTAATACCCCCTAAATCCCCAACCCCCCCTTTAAGGAACCCTTCAAAAAGGAACCCTTCAAGAAGGAACCCACCCTTTTAAGGAACCCCTTCAAAAATGAACCCCCCTTTTAAGGAACACCTTCAAAAAGGAACCCCCCTTCAAGGAACCCCTTGAGAAAGGAACCCCCCTTTTAAGGAACACCTTCAAAAAGTACCCCCCCCTTTTAAGGAACCCTAAACCCTAAACCCCCTTTAAGGAACTTTTCAGAAAGGAACCCCGCCTTTAAAGGACCCCCCCCCTTTGAAGGAACCCGTTCAAAAGGGAACCCGAACCCGCCGCCTTCGCTTCCGCAGAGGCGAAGGCCGAGCCTTCGGACTTCGGCCGCATCCGCATCCGAGGATCCGAGTCCGGAGCCCAGGGCTTTAGGGTTTAGGGTTTAGGGTTTAGGGTTTAGGGTCTAGGGTTTAGGATTTAGGGTTTAGGGTTTTGTGGTTTAGGGTTTTGGATTT